AGTAGCAGCAGCAGCAGCAGCAGTAGTAGTAGCAGCAGGAGTAGTAGTAGCAGCAGGAGTAGTAGTAGTAGTAGTAGTAGCAGCAGCAGCAGTAGCAGTAGTAGTAGCAGCAGCAGCAGCAGGAGGTAGCACAAATGATTCGTCGCTGGGTCATTTGCAGTCAAGCTTCGAATGCAGGTGAGGTCCTGAGCCAAAGCACCACAGTGAAGGGGGTCAGGCCAGGCTGCTCGTCCGAAGGGGAGAAAGTGCCTGCTTCGGCGGCGTGAAAGACATAACAGAAGAGCTCTTCACGCAGTATTGCTTTTTCGCATCGTCTCGCTGCTACAACGGCGACGAACAACAACAACAACAAGTATGACCACTATGATAACTACGACCTGCAGTAGCATGATTGATGACTTGATGAATGGCACTAATATTCCCGCATCTGCTCTGACTTTGCTTGTTCTTCCTAGAATTAGAAGGAAAATGCCGCCGGACCGCGATGTCGCCGCCCTCGGGCAGCTCCAACAAGAGGCCGATCGCAGTCTCGGGTTCTCCAGAAATAATCGCCTCAACATCCAGAATTTCCGAGAAACCGGGGTGCCTTACTCGCGCGGCCTTATGCCTTCAATCATTCGATCGTTTCGACTCTCGCAGCTCGCATTCCATCAATGAGGGTCTATGGTAAGCTCTTCGTTTCACATTTCCGGAACTTCCTGTGCCGCAACGACTGGTTAAACCTGCCATCCTGCGAAACCACTTCCAGGTGAAAGGGCCTGGCATGGCTTAGCCACACGACCCTCTCCCAACCACGTAGGCCCATATAATATTGCTCCGTAAACACCCGCATAATCTCTAAAGTCTACAGAGTCTATAAACATGTTAGGGGCTTTTGGGAGCCGCTCCTGCGACGAAGCTGCGTTCATTGATGATTTTGGCAGGAATCATCCAAACAAAGTTGGGGCCGATATATATATATATATTACAAGGATGCTATCATCAGAATCCCAAATAATCGCTTCCTTTCGGCAGTGCAACAGAATGTCATGATTTTTTTGCATCTCGACTTGTCATGTCATCGGATTGTGGGAGAATACACTCCCATCTTTACTCCTACATGGGCTCCAGGAGGTATTTAAGATCTAGGGCCACCAACTTGCTCCAGGAGGCAAAAAAAATCAGCAGCACATGACGGTGTCATATGATGTGCTTGCATAACACTTAGCTGTCTGTTGGGGGCCCTGTCGCTCATGCAGTGCTCCAGCCTGGCTGAGAATCTTTACAAGCCGGCAAGCCGGTCGAAATTGAATTCCTCGGCACAACCATTGCCTGCCGAGGGCTGCAAACCGATACCGTCGTAACGGCAGTGCTGACAGAGGCCATGACGCTGCGCTTTGCAGGATGCTGTCATCCCAACTCGCAGGCCATGTGGCTTGTCTGAAAGTGCGCCTAGAAGATGCGAATTAAAATGTTGCAGCCGGGGAATCAGCTGCCTGTACCACAGGAGAATCAGAAATAGGTCTGTACAAACCTTGCCCCCGAATGCGCTGAAGCGTTGTCGAGGCTTGACGGAAAACTAGACATGGGCTCCTATAAGTATACTCCCTAGGGTCCCCAAAGCCTTCTCTGCCGCTGGCCGTCGCTGAAGATCACAAGCTGCGAGCCGCCAGCTTTGCAAAGCTGCCATCCATATTCATGAGCTCCTGGTAAGTGCCTGACTCAAGAAGCCTTCCGTGGCAGAGGACGAAGATCTTGTCTGCGTTCTGGATGGTCGACAAGCGGTGGGCCACGGTAATGGTGGTCTTGCCGACCCTTTCGGTCTTCATCGCCTGGAGCACGACGCTCTCCGAGACGGCGTCCAAGGCTGAGGTGGCCTCGTCCAAGAGCCTGGGCTCTTCTTAAAGGATTTAATTTAAGTTACCCATAATAAAGAAACCCCATTACTTACTATAGATCCCTCTTCTGGTAACTTAGTTACCATAACCAAGAAACCCTATTACTATAGATCCCTATTATGGTAACTTAAATCATTTTTTTTAACAAGAACCCAGGAGCATGAACTGAGGCTTGCGAAGCAGGGCCCTTGCGATGGCACAGCGCTGCTTCTGACCGCCGGAGAGCTTCTCGCCACGGAGGCCGATTCGATCTGTCCACTGCACGGCACCCGACAAGGCATAATCCATGTTGGCCGCCCTCGCTGCTTCCCGCACCTCTTCCTCTGTGGCCTCGGGATAGCCATACTTCACGTTCTCTTCCAGGGACATGTCGAAAAGCATGGGCTCCTGGCCCACGAAGCCCAGCTGCTGTCGCCAGAATGCGATATCGAGGTCTTTCAAGTCCTGGCCACCCACTCGGATCACACCGGCTTGAGGGTCGTAGAAGCGCTGCAAGAGCTGAACCACCGTGGATTTGCCACTGCCAGAAACCCCACACAAAGCCACCGACTGGCCCTTCTCGATGGTCAGGGAAAGCTTCCTGAGCACCCTCACTTCGGGACGGTGGGGATACCAGAAGTGCACATTGCGGAACTCAATGGTGCCATCTCCCAGAGTCTTGCAGCCTTCCGACTTCGCGGCATCGATCTCGGAGACCTGGTCGATGAGGCGGAAAACCTGCATGGCTGCATGATATCCTGAAGCAGAGTCAGGGATGTGCTGAGCCACGAGGCCCACGGAGATCGTCCCGAAAAGCATACAGAAGACCTGGGTTCGTGCTTGGGATGGTCTCAGAGATTGAAGCTTCTTTGACTTCTATGTTTAGGGTTTAGGGTTCAAGGGTTTAAGGGTTTAGGGGTTTAGGGTTTAGGGTTTAGGGTTTTAGGGGCCTTACTGTCGAGTTCAAGTACCCATAAACATGTAACATCCCTAAACCCTAAACCCTAAACCCTAAACCCTAAAATGTTACCCCAACTAAGACCAAAGAGACGGTCAGCAACACCTGCTGCGAGTCGAAGCTCCAGAACTGCACGCTGATTCCTCCAATCCAGAAGCTGACCAGGTTGATCACCTGCATCTTGTATGGGTTTGCGGTTTTTTTTGCCTAGGGTTTAGGGTTTAGGGTTTAGGGTTTAGGGTTTAGGGTTTTGGGTTTAGGGTTAGGGTTTAGGGTTTAGCACTAAGTCTATGTAACTAGTCCAGGACTCCTACTACAAGGTATCTCTCAAGCTTTCGTACGTTGCTGTTCAGCCAGCACCACTAGTCACTAGTCTTCTGGAGAATCTCCCATGTGTTCATGGCCGCAACCCATGAACACGAAGAAACACCCACACCCACACACCCACACACAGAGAGAGAGAGAGAGAAACAGGACCCTCAATAGTCATGTAGAGCAAACCCCCACCTGGGGCAGCATCAGGTTCAGGCCCACCGAGACGCCCATCTTCCAGGACTTCGCGGCCTTCGACCGACAGACCTGGTTCCCTGTTGGGGCGACATGAAAAATGATCCTTTTTGATCCTTATTCGGGTTTTATTGTAACAAAAATGTAGAAAAATTTAATCCAACAAGGACCCAGAGACATAGTCCAAGGAGTCGCTGAGGGTTAAGAGCGTGTGCTCCTCGGCCCCGAGCGCCCTCACGGTGCGAATCGCGGTCGCCGCCTCCGCGGTGAACTTCCCCGCCGTGGCGTGGGTCTCCTCCACCTGCGGATCCACGCCCGAGGCAAAGCGGGCCACCAGCATCATGAGGATACCACAGATGGGCAGGAGGCCGAGTAGGATCAGAGCCACGACCCAGGAGCCGGCGAAGCTGATGATCACGCTCACGAGGCAAGTGAGAACTCCGATCGTGGAGAGCCCCAGCTGTGTGCCGAGCATCTGCCCCACACGGCACATGTGCCTCTCCAGGGACACCAGAATGCTGGAAGTCTGATTCTCTGGGGCGTCGAAAAAGGCCATCTCCATGTGGATAAGGCTTTGGAAGGCTTTTGTACGTAGGATCATACACAGACACTCCTGCATGTAGATGAAGAGCCAGTTCTGACAAAATCCCACCACTCCAAAGCCCAAGCCAACCAGCATCAGACCCTCGATGGCCGCATCCAGCTCGGATAGCATCACCCCATGATCTACAATGGACAAAGCATTGAGGGCGATGTTGAAATAGACCGCTTCGAGCGGCATAGCCAGCGCTCCGGTGCTGACGATCACAAAAGCAGCGGGCCAAACCCACCAGTGCCCAGTCGTGAAGCGGAACAGACGCCGCCAGATTCTCGCGGGAGCACCTCCCTCTTCATTCGCCGTCTCCTGGAGACTTCGGGGCGTCCTGCTCTGCGTACAAGAATTAAGCATGACTGCCTTCCCTTCAATTGCTTCGCTCTGAGCGTTTTGGATCATCGCCTCGTTGGAATTCTCTTCATTTTCATCTGCCTGAAGCTTGGCCATGTTGTAGTACTCCCCGCGTATCTCCATGAGCTCTTCATGGGAGCCCTGCTCGCAACAGCTCCCATCTTTCAGGACGTAGATGATGTCCGAGCTCCGGATGGTTGTGAGCCGGTGGGCAATGGAGACGGTGGTGATGCTCTGGCTGTTCCTTACTTCCCCAGTAAGCCAGGGAAATAAAAGGTTAAACTTTCAGATTACTATTGAATTATAAGAACCCAAGAAGTTTAAAGGTTCG